TAGCTTGCAGTGCTACATCCTAACCCGTTGCACCACCAGGCAGGGCCGTGGTGTATGTATTGGGGCTGAAATTGCATGTAAAGTTGTGAGTAAGAAATAATGGCCACCTGAATTAGAATCACAGAATTCAATATGAAATCTACTAAAACGGAGGCACTCCCATCATTGCTACTATAGATTCACCAGAAAAGAAATTTCTAATGGAGCTAGAATTGATACTATAAACTCTTTTTCTGGATTCCAGTTTCCACAGCTATATAAAGTGAAATGAGTAGATAAAGAATGGCTATTCAGATTATTTTAGCCTTGAAGTTTCTCTTTCTCCAACACTGTAATCTCTTTTGAAAATCTCAGGAACTTTGAGGTGGGTCAGCTTTTACAATTCCCATTGTACAATTTCTGATAATTCATTGAATTATTATTGTTTATTACATAATGTAATCACTCATTATGTACTCAAGTGTTTATTAACTAAACCAATAGGAGAATGTAAAAAATAGGAGAGCAGAGGAGCCAGAGGTCACAAAAGGGACCAATTTAAGCATAGTCCCTGATAATTGTATAAGTTTTATCTAAAAATTTGTTCACTAAGTTTAAGGCACACCAAAATCAGGGAAAAAACTTATTGGTAAAAGTCAGTTTCTGCTTATTGTTTCTTTTTCTCAATGTATAGTTATAGTTTAATTATTTTTATGAATGATAAATCTCACAAGGTGTTTAATAAAGTTGCCCTTCATCCACACATTTTGGGGAAGTTCTATTTGTTTTCCTCTTGGAGATTTTACATTTCCTAAATATCAAGATAAAAAGACCTCTTTAAATTAACAAAAGCTAGACTATCCCCACATCAGTTTAGCCAAGAACTTTCTCTCTTGCCACTTACTATTATTAAAGTAGACATCAAAGAACACTCAAGAATGCTGCCTTATTTTTACATCCAGTGGTGGTTTATTGTTTTGTACACAGAACATTAGGAATTCATTTCAAATAATTAAATATTTTGAAAATTTCTGATTTTGTGTGAATAGTGAATGAGCAAAAGTTTTTGAATTTTGAGTTATTTAGTTACTAAGGCTGGATTTGTTAAAGACTGCATGTTCCTTTAAACTTGACGAGATTACACTAGCTTTGGGATCTTCTAGATCTTACTCTGATATTTACTGACAAACTTTGGTCTAAGTCATTTTCAGTTTCAGTTCCCTTTTTTAAATGTATTAATCATTTTTAATTGAAATAATATTAGGATTTCCCCATCTGGTACGAAGCTCTTGGTGTTCCCACCACCAAATCATTCATAGTTCACCGCCATAGTCCATTGTGTGTTTCCTTCCCACTTTGTTTTTTACCTCTTCCTCTCCCCCTTACTTGCTACTTCAGTTGTGTAGTCAGCTACGAAACATTAATTTTTTGAAGATTTAAAAAATTTATTTATGCGTACAGAATTGGGGTACAGAACTCAGAGGTGCAGGGGGTGAGAGGACTCATTAGAGACAGAGTGGAGAGCAGAACAGGCAGATTGATAAAGTACATTGCTGAGGGGAGTATGCGGAGACAGGAGAGGTCTGCTGTGCCACGTGGGTCACCTCCCTGGCCAGGGATCAAATCCATGCTGACGCAACTGCGGTTAGCTTAGCAGAGCTCCGTTTCAACCCTTCGCACCACCAGGAAGGATGCTGGTGGGTTAATTTTTAACTTGTCTTTATCTGACTTTTACTTTTGTTACTTTATATTCCAGCATCTGGTATTTGTCTTTCTCCTTGACTTATTGTACTTAGCATTATCCCCTCCAGCTCCATCCATGTTATCACAAGTGGTAAGAGTTTATCTTTGTTAATCATTGAGTAATATGTGAGTGTATGTATGTGTGTGTGTGTATGTGTGTGTATCTTTGCTACATTTAGGTTGTTTCCATAATATAGATATACTAAATAATGCTGCAATAAATATAGGAGTGCAAGTTTGCTTTTGAATTAAAGTTTTTTAATTTGGGGGTATAGAAACCTGAAAATGGAATTACTGGGTCAAATGGCAAATCCATGTTTAATATTTTGTGACACCTCCATGCCGCTTCCATGGACTAGGTCAGCTTCTGGTCAGTTTAATATGGGACATTTTCACAGGTGTGCTGTGTATCTCATTTTCATCTTAATTTGCATTTCTCTAATAATTGTGATGGTGGACATTTTCTCATGTACCTTTTGTAGTCTGAATGTCTTCTTTGGATAAGTAGTAGCAGGTGAGACAGGAGAGGTCTGCTGCACTATGTGGGTCACCTCCCTGGCTGGACATGGAACTTGTGCTGATGTGGCTGCAGTCAGCTCTGTAGTGGCGCACATTAACCCATTGCGCCAGCCGGGAGGGCCCGCTGTTCAGTTCTTTTGCCCATTTTTGATTGGATTATTTGTTTTGTTTTAGTAGTTTTATGATTTCTCTGTAGATCTTTGATATCTGTCTGTTGTCAGATGTGGTTTATGAAAATATTTTCTCTGACTGAGCAGGTTATCTTTTTGCTTTAATTATTGTTTCTTTCACTGTGCAGAAGCTTTTTAGTTTGTGTAGTCCCAGTTGTTTATGTTCTTTTATTTTTCTTATTGTTGGGTATGAATCCCTAAAGGCATCATTAAAGCTTATGTCATGAAACTTTTTGCCTCTGTTTCTTCATATGTATTTCAGGGTTTCAGGTTTTACACCCAAGTGTTTTTTTTTCTTTTTTTAAATTTATTTTGAATTTATTTCTGTACGTGGTGTGAAACAATAGTCTAGCTTCACTCTTTTGAATGTATTTTTCTCAGTAGCACTTACTGAAGAGACCATCCTTATTCCCGTGTATGCTCTTGGCCCCTTTGTTATAAATTAACTGTCCATATAAATGTGGGTTTATTTCTGGACTCTCAAATCTATTCCATTGTTCCAGTATCAGGCTGCTTTAATTATTAAATGGCTTAATAATATAATTAGCGTTCTCAACGCATGTTGTCTCTATGCTCTTAGTGGCTTAAAGTAACCATTTATTATTATCTCTTACTGGTATGTACATTAACCAGGCAATTTTTGCTTAGGCCTGCTTATGTCATTGCTGTCAGAAATTGTCTGGGAATGGAATCCTAGAAGAACTGCTGGCACATTTACATGACTGAAAATGCTTGTTATCTGTTAACTGGGAAGTTTAGATATGATTATTGACTGGAATACCAACTCATGGCCTCTCCATGTCGCTCCAGCTTCTCACAGCACAGTCCCAGAAACAAGCAGGTGATAAAGCAGTAGACTCTGTTGGTCAGAACAATTGTAGAGCCTGACTGTATACAAGGATGGAAAGAGGGAGACTGACCTCTCAGTGGAAGGCATGACAAAGTATGTGTAGCCATCTTTCATCTTCTGTACTTTTCCTCCCAGAACTTCATTTGCTTTATCTATAAAGTGAAGGTTAATCAAGATAATGTCAAAGGTCACCAAGTTTCTGAAATTCTGTGATCCAACAAATCCTTTTTAGACTTAAAAGATTTCTAGTTTCCTGAGATAAAGACATAAGAGAAAATGAAAATTGTTTTCATGTATACTATTTTACACACTAGGTTGTTTATATATGTCAAGAAGGAAAACAAAAAGAACACTTCATTTGTCTCCCAAGAAAATTCTGTTTTGAAATGAGCTTCTAACCAGAGCAACAGAGAAAATCATCATTAATTTTACTACAAAAGTTGAGGCAGAATTATCTGTGACAGAGTCTGGGGAAACAGGAAAGCTTAAATATATCAGCTTCTGAGGCCATTGTGAGTTCCCTTTGTATACAATGCTTACCAATCTCCCGCTCCCTGCTACTCTCCTATAGAGATTTTGCACATATACCCATCTTATTCCCAAACGAGGCAATTTGACCTAG